AGGAAAGCGTCCTTGGAAACTAGTGATATTAGCAGAGCTCTTGACGAGAACAGTGTCAGGAGCTGCAGGGCAGAAGCCTGCATTTGGTCCAGGAGAGTAGGATAGGAGAAGGTGAAAAACAAACCATAAGCACCCCTTTCTGTATATTAACTTCAAGTGAAAAAGACAGGTTGTAATATATACATCATTAAGAGAACGTTTTTGCCTAAAAACCTACCAGCAGATTATTTAATTGCTACGGTATAAGAAAATAAGGACTAAAGACAAAGTTGGTGGTGGACATCAGGACAGCTCATTGCTGCAAAAAATAGAGTTCTGGGAAAGCATCATTAATGTTGGTATTACTTGGAAAGCTGAGGTGGAAGAATCACCTAAGCCCAGCAGGTTGAGGCTGCGGTGGCCATGAGCATGCCACTGTACTTCAGCCTGGGCAACAAAGTGAGACTCCAGCTCAAAAAAAAAAGTTTTAAAAATAAATAAGTAAATGAAAAAAAGAAAGAAAAGAAAGTTGTGTGGCTTTTGTTTTTTTTTTTTTTTTATTTTAGTTGGAGTCTCACTTTGTTGCCCAGGCTGGAGTGATGGTCACCACAGCCTTGAACTACTGGGCTCAGGTGATCCTTTCACCTTAACCTTCTAAGTAGCTAGAACTACAGGCATGTGTCATCACATCCAGCTAATTTTTCTTGATTTATTGTAGAGATGAGGTCACGCCCAGTTGCCCAGGCTGGTCTCAAACCTGTGGGCTCAGGCAATCCTCACACCTTGGCGTCCCAAAGTGCTGGAATTATAGGTGTGAGCCACCATGCCCAGCCGTGTTTCCTTTCTTAAATCACTTGGAAGGAACTTGAGCATATTAAAATGTTGAGGAGGAGGAGCCAAAAGGGAAGGAGACATTGCAGATACATGAGAGAGAATAGTTGATGGTGCTAGGACCAAGAGAAGGAAGGAGGAGGCGAGATCCAGGGCGCTTGGGAGAGATTCACTTTCAGCTGAAAGAAGGAGCAGATAGTTACAGATGCAAGTAGGTTTGTAGGAAGGGTTTCAGGGAATGAGATGACACCTGTTATCTGCTTAGGGTGAGGGAAGAAAGGTGGGATCAAAGGTTGAGGGAGGAGCAGTTAGGCTCAGAACCTAAATGTAAACAGAGATCTCTCTGTGGCCTCACATGTACTGGCCCCAAGCTGGCAGAGGGCCTGCAACCTAAGCCAGAAAGGAACAGGGGCTGTTCTGGCGTAACCAGGTGGTAGTGGTGTGGAAGCAAGAAGGATGATGGTGAGGAGGGTGGGACAGGGCTAGTCATGTGGCAGTGGCAGTTTCCTCAGGAGAGTTGTATTGTCATGGGGACAGAAGGTGGAGAACATCAGCAGCGTGGTGGGTGTTTAACTTTGGGATGGGTATTCTAGAGGGGAGAATTGGTCCCATTGGAGATGAGATCACAGAAAGACTAGTTATGTGGAGAAGCTTGGATCTTGAGATGGAGCTTCGCAGGGGCCAGAGGTGACAGGCCTGGTAGCAACCACTAGGTAGTCAAGATGATTAGTGTTCAGTTGGATGGCATTTGTCTCAGAATGCCATCTGTGCCTACATTGGTTGCAGTTCTGAGAGTCCTCTCTGGGTGAATGGCAAAGATATCTTGGCCTGTGGGGGTTTGGGCTGGTCTTGCGGCCATCTGCAGGTCTTGAGGCTGGTGGAGGGTGGGGGATTTGCTAGCAGCCAGATGCCCTGAGGCCCATCTGTCTGTTGCTCTTGTCTCAAATCCTCGTTTTCCTATACTTTAATCACTGCATAGTCTGCCAGGAAGTCTTTCTTCAGTTTCTGGAGATGTGAACAGGCCTTTGTTTTGCTTTTAGATTAACTTTGTTAAAACCCTATCTTTAGCCAGCTGGTGGCTCAGCCTGAAATCCCGCGCTTTGGGAGGCTGAGGTGAGTGGATTGCCTGAGTCCCCAGGTTCGAGACCCGCCTGGGCAACTTGGCGAGACCTCATCTCCACAATAAATAAAAAAAAATCAGCCGAGTGTGGTAGTGTGTGTCTGTAATTCCGGCTACTCGGAGGGCTGAGGCGGAAGGATCACCGGAGCCCAGCAGGTCGAGGCTGCAGTGGCTGGGAGTGGCCACTGCACTCCAGTCTGGGCAACAGAGTGAGACTCCAACTCAAAACAAAAAACAAAAAAAAACCCCTACCTTTGTCATACCCAGCTTGTAGCATTTCATGGTTGTATCCTGGACCAGGGCAAACCTAGCATCCAGTATCCTCTGTGGTCTGACTCCATCTCCCTTCGATTCCTATTACGTGGCATTCATTGTAGACACTGTGGCCTCCAAGCCAGGGGCCTCGTTGTCACCCACAAGCATAATCATAGTGAGACTTGTCCTGTAACTTTTTTATGCTTCCCAGCTCTCTCTTTGTCCAAATTTTACTTCTCCAAGGCTCAGTTTATCTCCTGCTTTCTATATGATCCTTTCCCTGAAGGCCCAAGCCTGTGCTCTTTTTCATCTCTAACTTATTATATTTATAGTCTTGGAGAAATGTGAGCTTTGTTGCCATTTGTGACTCATGTTTGTTTATGTAAATAACAAGCCGAACATGGTTAATAATCCTCTTTTCCTGTCCAGGAAAAGACATACTTAAATCTCCACCACATCGCCTGTGGAAACATAGGGTGTGCCATCTTTCTTTAGGTCCTGGCTTGCATCTCTTCTTTGCTTCCCAAGGACCCATTGTTTGTTACTGCCTTTCCTTTTTCATTGCCTCTTTTCCTTTCACTGGTCATTCCCACCAGCAGTGCAGAGCTCTTGTCTAAAAACATGCAGATCACCTTGCTCTTCCCCACGTTCTCCGCTGGCTTCTGTCCTGTTTTTCTGCTCCCCTTCCCAGCAGTGTAGGGGGTCTGTCTCCACTCCCTCATCTCCTTCATTCTTCAATATCTCCTTTACTCTTAATTTGGCATTAGTCTGTATTTCATCCCTACCACTCCCCTGGAAATGTTCTTTTTGAGGGCACCAGGGACCTTTTTGTTGTCAAATCCCTGTGGACACTGTGCCACCTTGCTTGACCCTTCAGCACCGTCTGTAGTTAACCACTTCTTGAAACACTTTCCTCTCTTGGCTTCCATGGCTCATCTCTGCCTGGCTTTCTTTCTACCTTACCAGCTACTTCTCTATCTTTTTAGCCAATTCTCTTTATCTGGACCCTGTGAATCTGCCACAGCATTGAACCCTGATTTCTAGTCCTTCTTTTCTCTTCCCAGTCTGTAATGCAGAGACCTTCAGAGTTCTTGTTCCTCTCCAAATACTAGGGCTTTAGATACTCTGGTAAGTGGCACCAGTTGTTTAACCCAGAAATTTAACTGTCATCCTTATTTCTTCCTTTTTCTGACTTCTTTTTTTGGAGGAGGGGTTAGAGTCTCACTCTGTCGCCTAGGCTGGAGTGCAGTGACACGATCACAGCTACCACAACCTCAATCTACTGGCTCAGGAAATCCTTCCCCCTCAGCCTTCAGGTAGCTGGAGCTACAGGCATGTGCCATCACACCCAGCTACTTTTTTTTTTTTTTAATTGTAGAGACAAGTTCTCGCCAAGTTGCCCAGGCTCGTTTCAAACTCCTGGGCTCAGGCAGTCCTCTTGCCTGTGCCTCCCAAAGTGCTGGGATTACAGGTGTGAGCCACCACACCTGGCACACTTTTTCTGATTTTAATATCCAGTCTGTTGGCAAATAAGTTGTCATTTCTGCCAAACAGTTCAGTCATTTTTCTGACTCCACTGCCACATCCTTTTGTAAGCTACCGTGATATCTTCCTTGGACTACTGCAATAGCTTCCTAATATATCTGCCTTTCTTGTTATTCTACCATCCACTCTCCACCATGGAGCCAGACTGACATTTGAAAAACATCCCCAGATAATTTCATCTTCTTGCTTTAGTGATTTTTCTTTGCACTTAGAATAAAATTGAAATTCCTCATGGGAATTGAGGCCTGTGTGTAACTGGTTTCTGCTAGATTCTCCAATTTTGTCTTAGATCGTCACCCCCTTATCATGATGTGTACACTGGCCTCCTTTTTGTTCTTGGACTCATTAAGATTCCTCTTACCTCAGGGCCTTTTCATGTGTTCATTCCTCTGTTTGGCACACGTATGAGTATAGTTGGTTCTTTCTCATACATCTCTTTTTTTTTTTTTTTTTT